CCGTTGGTCACTGCGGCACAACCGCGCGCGCCGCTCGCGTGCTGGCGGAGATATGTGGGCCCCAGTTCGACGCCGAGAGGAATCTGGAAGCCCTCGCTTTGAGGAAGAAAGGGGAGGGTGAGGTTGAAAAGGGGGAGCTTGATGAAGCTGAGGAGTTGTTTTCGAAGGCGATTGAGCTTTGGCCGTCTGGGGGTTTGCATTTTATTTATAAATGCAGGTTTCTTTTTTTGGAATTTTTGATTGGTTTTAGGTAGTTTATTTTTGAGCATTGGATTGAGATTTGGGTGAAATTGTTCAGGTCTGCTGTGAGATTGGCGAGGGGAGATAATGAACGGGCACTTGAAGACGCTGAAGAAGCTTGTCGAATTGCTCCAGTGTTTCCTCAGGTATTTGCTTAATTCAATGGCTGTTTATGTAGTTGTAGGAGCCTGATGATATTCAGTGGGAATTGGGAATTAAGGCATGTGAAATTTATGATAGTAAATGGAGAGCAAGCTAATTAAGTTTTAGGTTATTATCGAATGTAGAAATAGATCGAAGAGTGCAGGAGGAATTAAACATGACAATTGAGAATTCTTTTACTGTTTTCCCCCTCTTTCTTAGTTCACTGTCTCTTGTTGATAACTTGTGCCAATCTTTTGTGTAATGACATAGTAGCTAACTGACTCTTGTTGATAAATTGATCTCAATTTCTTAACCAAACACTTCTAGGAGCCTAACACTATGTTTGGGAGTTTACTAGGGAAGGGAAGGTAAGTTAAAATTGGGGAAGCGAGGGTAAGAAATGGGAAGCGAAGCTAAGGGAGGATCTAATAACTTGTTTGGGAGTTTACTAGGAAAATGGAAGGTGATTTATTTCACCTTGCTTGGAGTTTCAATTAATGCAAGGGAATGGAAGGGAATTCATGTAAAATTACATAAATAGCCTCTCACTATATTTATTATTATCCTTACATTACGTATCCATCTAACCAGATGGGAATATCTACCTGTTCAAAAGTTTACTACCAAATTTCATTGAGACAACCCTCTTAAAGAAAGAAAAAACTATAGGACATTACCACCAACCCTTATAAGTCACTTCACACAACCAATCCGCAACCATGAAAGGATCCACATATCCTATATCCACAATATAGATAAATAACATAGCCAAAAGCAACATAAAACAATATTCTACTCAACATAGAAAGCTTATAGAAATATCAAACCACTTTTCCATTCAATAACCACATGTTCCTTACAAAATATGACTGCTAAATATTGTCATAAGCACCATAGTTACCAAATACACAATTTTCATACATAAGTAAAAGTTAGCAATTTCATAGACAACACAACTGATCATCATCCACAAAAAGTTAGTATATTCAAGTTTGAAATAGCTCACACAACCAAATGTTCTCCACCAAAAGTTAGCAATTTCATAGTCAACACAACCAAAATTAGTCACCAAAAGTTGGCAAACACAAATGCCAAATGGCCAACACAACAACCAAATACCACCATCAAAAGTGGGCAAATTCAAGTCCAAAATGGCCAACATGTAACCCAAAAAAAAATGCTAGGTAGCAAGCTAATAAATAGGTGGAGGTGGCGGTGACATAGATGCACAATGTAACATCTTCATAAGAAGATTTTGCGCCTTTCAAGTGGACGGCCGAGAAAAGGCCTTAACATATCCGGTTTCGCAGTTAGTAATAGGAATGCACTATCAATTTGTTCATCATCAAGGCCAAGATCAACCAAATGAGCTCAGACCTCGTCTTCTTTCATTGGAGTGCGTTCGTGACACTTTGTGTGCTCATATGCACCTAACTTGATTGCCTCAGCTATCCTGTGCATGCTGGATTTCAACAGAAACATCCTTCTTTGCTTTCCTACTTTTCTTGTGCGAATTTGTTGTTGAATTGGTCTCATGAATAGTGTTATTATTACCATCCTCTTTGTCATTTGCTTCACCATTAATCACATCAAAATTTTCCAATAAAATTTCCTCTCTCGAAATCATATTAACCATGCCATTAATGGTTAAAGTATCAACCTCATTAGTGGCGTTGAAACTTCTTCCTTTCTCGTATCTTAGCTGCAGTTTCAACATTATCTCTCGTTGCTCTATCAGAT